ATTTTATTTCAATAAACACTTTTTCTTCTTCTTCTTCTTCTTCTTCTTCACCAGGCACACACAGCAAACAAACAACAAAACCAAAACATAAACATAGGTTAAACTAGTGATGGTCGGATCCGGATATCGGACTACCGGATCCGCCGGATCCGAGCTAGAACCGGCACCGGATCGGATCCAAAAAATTCCGGATCTTGGGCTGGATACGGTTTTGATGGATCCGATTTTTAAAAATTTGTTCCCGATTTTTTCCTAACACAAAGCTGTCTGTATCACTGTACAACCCCGATTCTTTTTCCAACACAAAGCTGTCTGTATCACTGTACAACACCGATTTTTTTTACTAACACAAAGCTGTCTGTATCACTGTACAATCCAGATTTTTTACTAACACAAAAAGCTGTCTGTATCACTGTACAACACCGATTTTTTTACTAACACAAAACTGTCTGTATCACTCTACAACCCCGAATGTTTTTACTAGCACAAAGCTGTCTGTATCTCTGTACAACCCCGATTTGTTTACTAAACACAAAGCAGTATGTATCACTGTACAACACCGTTTTTTTTACTAACACAAAGCTGTCTGTATCACTGTACAACCCCGATTTTTTTACAAACACAAAGCTGTCTGTATCAATCTACAACCCCGAATGTTTTTACTAGCACAAAGCTGTCTGTATCACTGTACAACCCCGATTTGTTTACTAAACACAAAGCTGTCTGTATCACTGTACAACCCCGATTTTTTTACAAACACAAAGCTGTCTGTATCAATCTACAACCCCGAATGTTTTTACTAGCACAAAGCTGTCTGTATCACTGTACAACCCCGATTTGTTTACTAAACACAAAGCTGTCTGTATCACTGTACAACCCCGATTTTTTTACCAACACAAAGCTGTCTGTATCACTGTACAACATTGATTTTTTTACTAACACAAAACTGTCTGTATCACTCTACAAAACCGATTTGATTACTAAACACAAAGCTGTCTGTATCAATGTACAACACCGATTTTTTTACTAACACGAATCTGTCTGTATCACTGTACAACCCCGATTTTTTACTAACACAAAAAGCTGTCTGCATCACTGTACAAAACCGATTTTTTACTAACACAAAAAGCTGTCTGCATCACTGTACAAAACCGATTTGATTACTAAACACAAAGCTGTCTGTATCACTGTACAACACCGATTTTTTTACTAACACAAATCTGTCTGTATCACTGTACAACCCCGATTTGTTTACTAAACACAAAGCTGTCTGTATCACTGTACAACACCGATTTTTTTACTAAGACGAATCTGTCTGTATCACTGTACAACCCCGATTCTTTACTAACACAAAAAGCTGTCTGCATCACTGTACAAAACCGATTTTTTTACCAACACAAAGCTGTCTGTATCACTGTACAACATTGATTTTTTTACTAACACAAAACTGTCTGTATCACTCTACAAAACCGATTTGATTACTAAACACAAAGCTGTCTGTATCAATGTACAACACCGATTTTTTTACTAACACGAATCTGTCTGTATCACTGTACAACCCCGATTTTTTACTAACACAAAAAGCTGTCTGCATCACTGTACAAAACCGATTTGATTACTAAACACAAAGCTGTCTGTATCACTGTACAACACCGATTTTTTTACTAACACAAATCTGTCTGTATCACTGTACAACCCCGATTTGTTTACTAAACACAAAGCTGTCTGTATCACTGTACAACACCGATTTTTTTACTAAGACGAATCTGTCTGTATCACTGTACAACCCCGATTCTTTACTAACACAAAAAGCTGTCTGCATCACTGTACAAAACCGATTTGATTACTAAACACAAAGCTGTCTGTATCACTGTACAACACCGATTTTTTACTAACACAAAAAGCTGTCTGTATCACTCTACAACCCCAAATATTTTTACTAGCACAAAGCTATCTGTATCACTGTACAACACTGATTTTTTTACTAAGACGAATCTGTCTGTATCACTGTACAACCCCGATTTTTTACTAACACAAAAAGCTGTCTGCATCACTGTACAAAACCGATTTGATTACTAAACACAAAGCTGTCTGTATCACTGTACAACACCGATTTTTTTACTAACACAAATCTGTCTGTATCACTGTACAACCCCGATTTGTTTACTAAACACAAAGCTGTCTGTATCACTGTACAACACCGATTTTTTACTAACACAAAAAGCTGTCTGTATCACTCTACAACCCCAAATATTTTTACTAGCACAAAGCTATCTGTATCACTGTACAACCCCGATTTGTTTACTAGCACAAAGCTGTCTGTATCACTCTACAACCACAATTTTTTACTAACACAAAAAGCTGTAGGTATCACTCTACAACTCCGATTTTTTACCAACACAAATCTGTCTGTATCACTGTACAACCCCGATTTTTTCCAGATTTTTTTACTAACACAAAGCTGTCTGTATCTATGTACAAGACCGTTTTTTCCCCGAGTGTTTGTCTCTTGACGCAAACAACTTATATGGCAAGGCCATGTCTCAGTGTTTGCATCTTGATGCAAATAACTTATATGGCTAGGCCATGTCTCAGCATTTGTCTCTTGATGCAAATAACTTATATGACAAGGCCATATCTCAGTGTTTGTCTTTTGATGCAAATAACTTATATGGCAAGGCCATGACTCAGTGTTTGTCTTTTGATGCAAATAACTTATATGGCAAGGCCATGACTCAGTATTTGTCTCTTGATGCAAATAACTTATATGGCAAGGTTATGACTCAGTGTTTGTCTTTTGATGCAAATAACTTATATGGCAAGGCCATGACTCAGTGTTTGTCTTTTGATGCAAATAACTTATATGGCAAGGCCATGACTCAGTATTTGTCTCTTGATGCAAATAACTTATATGGCAAGGTTATGACTCAGTGTTTGTCTTTTGATGCAAATAACTTATATGGCAAGGCCATGTCTCAGTGTTTGTCTCTTAATTCAAATAACTTATATGGCAAGGTCATGTCTTAGTGTTTGTCTCTTGGTGCAAATAATTTATATGGCAAGGCCATGTTTCAGTTTTTGTCTCTTGATACAAATAAATAACATATATGGCAATGGCATGTATCTTTCCGAACTGAATCGGACCAGATTTTTCGGTTATCTTCACACCTCTAGTTTTTAGTTCTGTACCTGGATGATAAGCTAACGGCCTATAATTTTGTCTCAAAAATATCCCGTTAGTATTTTAATCTCACCTGATGCTTTGTGATAAAAAATAATAAAAGTATGATTTAAATTGGCATTCTGTTAATTACGTTTTTTTTTAACCCGCCCTTATGACAGTGTGTATCTGGATCCGGATCCGAATTTTTCAAGATCCGGATCCGGTACCGACATTTTCTTGGATCCGCCCATCACTAGGTTAAACAATTAATTATTTTGATATTTGCAAACTCACACAGCTGTTTCAGTTCAGTCAGAGAGAAACAACAACATAATACCAATAAAAATTTAAAATACATGGCCAAATGGCTTTCTCCAATAGTCACCATTAAGCCATGAACTAGCTAAACAGCTGTACAAGTAAGCTGTGGCATTGATCAGGCATATATAAAAATAAACTATACACTATCATCAGCAACCCTATCACGAGTTAAAAAACGTAAGTTATACTAGTACGACTACACCTTATGTGTATTATATTTATATTCAATGCTTGTACAATCTGGCAACATTGCCCTCGATCTGACAACATGGCGGCAACTAGAGTTCTGTTGTTGTGTTAGCTGTCACTATTGTCAGTCAGTCAGTGAGTCAGTATTCTGTCATTTGGGCACTCGTTGTGAAATGCAAAAGCAAGCTATTTTGGATTATAACACTATTATGAATGTGAGATAATGAACTTGGAATTATTTATATTAGCTGACTTCAGAGTATTCCAAATAAACTATGATGTACCCCAATTTAGAACCTTCAATGTCAGTTGAGTTTAGCATCATAATTAACCTCACTTTTCAGAATCGGTATCCAGTACAATAAAGGGAAGTATCGAGTATCGGCGATTCTTCAGTATCGAGGTATGAGAATCGGAATCGGCCCATCCCTATTCAAATTAATTGTAGTTTTATTAAGGTTAAGTGTCAGTTTGCTAAATTTGTAACACAATAAGACACACTTTGAGCCAAAATGCATTCATATGAGAATCTTTGGATAGGGGCAACCCAGCCATAAATATGTTGAGAAATAAATACACTGATATGGATTCGAGTATTCTTGTGGACGACAGCAAAAACGAGAATTAAATGGGCTACAGACATTTAGCACGGCGGTTGCCGCGGACGCAGCCTGGGATGGGGCAAGGCCACACTAAAAAAACAGGCCGTAATGCTCGTCAAGCATGACGTCACGATAGAAGACGGCAATGACGTAATTAAGTTATATTTTTGTTTTCCATGATAAGATTAAAACAAGCAGCTGATCACAAACAGCAAAAATACGTCATTGCCGTCTTCTATCGTGACGTCATGCTAGACGAGCATTACAGCCTGTTTTTTTAGTGTGGCCTTGGATGGGGCCTCACTAGGAGCCTCAAAGGAAATGTTTTTCTGTTGAAAAATCAATTTAATTGATAATCTGGATGGAAAAAAGCGTCTGCGAAGATTGCACAACTGAAAATCATGACTTCACTGCAATTGCCTGAGATGATGATAATATTGAAGTCTCTGCGGCCACAAAAGATGTTCACAATATCTTTTTGCAAGTCTGACCCGTCAACCCCTTATAATATTAATACAAAATTAAGTGAAACTGTTTATTAACTAGCCTTCTAGGTATATTTTTTTATTAGATCGTCATAAAAAAGGGTCGAGTTCATAGAGTTGAAGCAATACCACGTCTATTTCTAGCCCCCTTCAGCACCCCCCCCCCCAAGAAATAAATAGAGGGGTCTCACTGGTGTGAGCGCCACAGGCCACCTAGATAGTAAATACGACTCTGCTTACCAATGACTGCCTCCATGATGAAGTGAGGTATCAGAATATTGCTGTAGTATTGCAGCTCTATCACATTGGGCAGCATAGTAACTGGTGTGATCATGACTCCATCATTGGTCCTTTCCTTCTTCACCATACCTGGACCCAATAAATCTACCTGAAATCAATAAATGTTAAACTACTAAAGACTCTCATGAGACGAGACTCATAGAAAGAAATTGATGTGTCCATTCCAAATATACTGACTTATACTATAATTGTTAATTTACATATGTTCTGTTCATTTGTTATTGTTTATATTATGATTCAGTTACATAATAGAATTGTGATTAAATAAAGTAAAAATTGAGTTACTACATTTAAATGTTACATTATTAAAATATCTAACAAATGGCGACGAGAATAATGGAAGATTTAGAAAAAAATAGCAGAAGATGTAAATAAAGTTAAGAAATTGAAATCATTGCAAAGAACAGTCAAGTTTTAGCTTGGAAATTTAAAGAAGTATGTGGACAATGGAACATTTTCTATCAATGAAATCAAAACTAGACTTGATTTGTTAGCTGAGATTAAATCAAAGTATGATCTAATTCAAGACAAGATCGACTTCTATATAGAAGAAGAAGATTTAGAAAATGAGCTAACTTACAGAGAAAGTATTGAAAACATGCTGATTGATACAAAAACAAGATTAATGGATGCCCAAATGCTTCATATGCCAAGTATGCAACATAGCTCTGATTCAAATCAAATTGATTGCATCACTGAAAATCTACAAGCTAATGCACCGATTCCAGTCCTTCCTACTTCAAATTTGAGCTTTACTCCTTACGATGAAAGGGAAAACTTTTCTAACTTTGCCAGAAGGCTGGAGGTTTTTATGACTTTAAAAGGTATAAATGATCCTAAGTTAAAAAAAAACCTTTACACTTCTACATGCCTTGACACCTCTTTTACATCAGAAACTATACAACCTATGTACACCAGACAATCCTATGACTAAAGAGTATGGGGAGCTTGTGACCTTACTTGACAACTTTCTAGATCCTAAAAAAAGTATTTTGGCTTTACAACACACATTTATTAGTCGAATAAAGGAAGATGGAGAATCTATTTCAAACTTTGCTACAGAAATAAAAAGGTTGTCAACGAATTGTAAATTTAATTGCGAAGCTTGTGGAAAATCTGTATTAGGCTAGACATGCTTTTACGACTACAACTCATACGTAGACTTAATGACAAAGACATTAAAATTCAGCTTTTACAGAAATGTGACCACAAACAATTTGTTGAAATTCTTAATACAGCTACTACTACAATGGAACTTTCAAAATTCAAAAGTACTTTGGTATGTCAAAAGAGTGGAAACTTAGACATAAATCAAGTAAAGTTTAATGCTAGAAATAATAGTACATCCAATGAAAATGAACAAATTCACAGATCTATAACAAAATCATACAACACAGGATTTTATACAAGTACCGGTAGTAAATTTTGTACAAAAGATTTTGAGTCACTGAAAGAGAAATGCTACCGATGTGAGAATGTAAACCATAGAGCGAATGTTTGTCCAATGATTGATGAAACCTGCAACGCCTGTGGAAAAATCGGACATATTTCAAGAGTATGCCTTAGTAAACATAAAAGCAGTAAAGGACAAGTTCATTACACTGAAAATAATGACATTTCTGAAGACAATATCCATGAAATTAATTTACTGTCTGACAAAAAGAGAGATGACAAATTTCACATTGATATTCATTATTCATTATTCATTATTCATTAGCCTTCGTCGTTGACCCTCTGATGAGGGAATAGACTGCGTCGTTGTTTAATACGAAAAAAAAAGACACAAAAACAAAGACTACACGCACATATAAAATAAAACTTATTTAACATGGCGGGCAGGCAGTAGGCGGTACAAAAAATTAATTGTCCCGCTCCAAATTGTCCTTAAAGAATTCCTCTACTTTGTAGTATGGTCTATTGATCATCAAGTCTTTCACAGCACTCTTGAACTTCCGGTCGTCCAGACATCGAATGCTGGAAGGGAGTCTGTTGAAGAACTTGATGGCTGACGTAGGGAAGGAATTGAGCGTCCTGCTCAATCTCGCACGGGGAACATCAAGATCCTGCCTAGCTCTGGTATTATGGGCGTGGATGTGGCTTCTGGTGTTGAGAAGAGGAACACTGCATTTGATTTCAACCAGGCAGGCGTAGATGTAGTGGCTGCAGACGGTTAGAATTCCAAGTCTCTTGAATATCGGTTTGCAGTGTTCTCTAAAAGGGCTCCTTGAGATTATACGGACTGCCGCTTTTTGAAGCTTTAAGACTTCCTCCACTTCCGACGCATGACCCCAAAGGTGTAGTCCATACGCAATGTGCGAATGAAACAGGGCATGGTATACCATGAGCAGGTACTGCTCCGTGACACATTTCCGGAGGCGCCTGAGGAGACAGTTGACTCTCGCAAGCCGTGTGGCAACATGGGCAGCATGGTCATTCCAGTCGAGTCGGCTGTCCAGCTGGAAACCGAGAAGTTTTACTGCAGCCATGTCGTCCGAGGAGTCTCTTGAGAGGGTACAAAGGAGTCTCTGGGTTTTGTCTCCATTCAGTTGCAGCTTATTCATCTGGAACCATGCTTTTGCTTCTTGGACCTGGATTATGGCTAAATCCCTAGTGTGGTGTAGGTTTGGCCCTTTAGTGAGAAGCGTGGTATCATCCGCAAATAGTATAGAGCTGCTGGTCTCGTCGATGTCGTTGATGAGGACCAGGAATAGAAGAGGGCCCAGCACAGATCCTTGGGGAACCCCCTGGTTCACCTCCAGTTCTAGAGAGCTTGCGCCTTCGAGTATTACCCTCTGGGTTCTGTTGGCTAGGTAGTTCTTGAAGGTGGAGAGAACCACACTACCAACGCCATATCTGCTGAGTTTTTTGAGCAGGATATCATGGGATACACAGTCAAAGGCTCTGCTGAGGTCACAGAGTGTTAGCATTACCGACTCCCCAGCTTCAAAGGCCTCGCCAACCTCTCTTGCAATCCTGGCAATCGCAGACGAAGTAGATCTCCCTGCGCGGAAACCGTGCTGTGAGTCTGAAAACAGCTGGTGTGTTTCAAAGTATGTATACAACTGATTCTTCATCACCGTCTCTATCACCTTACTAATCACAGGTAGTATCGAGATAGGTCTGTAACTCGAGATACTGGCATGATCACCTTTTTTGTATATTGGAATGGTCTTGGCTCTCTTTAGCTTGTCCGGAAAAACACCTGTCAACAAGCACCTGTTGATAACTGTAGTCAGGGGGGCAGAGATGTCATCAGCTACATCCTTCAGTAATTGGGATGACCAGCCAAAACAGTCACATGCTCTGGAACTTTTGAGTCCAGAGATTAGAGTCCGTATCTGCTTTTCTGAGATGGGATTCCATCTGTCAAGGGAACAGTGGAGCTCTTCCACACGCCTTCCGACATAAGCCAACGGGTCTTGGGGGCTATCTGGGATGTTGTAGATAATTTCTTCAACAGACGAGACAAAGAAGGTGTTGAAATCATCTGGACTCGCCATGCAGGACATTTTAGGCTTTTGGGGTTTCACACCATTTACCACACTCCAGGCTGCTTTGCATCGGTTTTGCGAGCTTTCAATGAAACGGACATTGGCCAACCGTTTGGCTTCCTCAACTTTTTTATTATAAAATCTTTTCAGGGCCAGGTAATTATGAACATCCCCTCTGTCTCGAAGGGCCATCATCAGGTTTTTCAAGTCGGTTAGGTTGATATAAAATTGGAAGGTAAAAACATTACTTTGGGGTTGGATACTGGAGCATCACTTGCATCGATTTCTTATGAAGACTACAAAAGACTAATTCCTTCCAAACGACTTTACAAGACTGGTGTAGAGCTGCACACCTACACAGGGGAGATCATAAAACCTAAAGGGGTTACATACGTAAAATGTGACTATAAGGGACAGTGTTTCATGCAAAAAATCTTTGTCATTTATCAACATGTCGATAGGATTTTTGGGCATGAATGGATGAGAGAAATAAGACTAGACTGGGGAGAAATAAAATCTATAAACATGAATGAAACAAGGAAGCCGGAGCTGGATTCATTACTTGCAAAATATGAAGGTTGATTTGACAAAAACATAGGGTCTATTCCAAACTTTGAAGCAAAACTTAACTTGAAGGACAACTCAAGCCCTATATACATAAGGGCTAGACAGGTTCCATATGCCATAAAGACAAAAGTTGAAAATGAACTCAGCCGTCTGGAAACCCAAAAGATTATCACCAAGGTAGACAACTCGGAATGGGGAACACCTATTGTGCCTGTCATAAAACCCAATGGTGACATTTGTACCTGCGCTGATTTAAAAGTTACTCTGAACAAAGTGGTGAAAGACAAGAAATACCCAATTCCGAGGATTGAAGACATTTTTTCTACAATGAGTGGAGGTAAATACTTTTGTTCTCTTGATATAAGCAATGCTTATTTACATATGAAAATGGATGAAGAGAGTAGCAAAATGCAAACACTAAGTACTCATAAGGGGTTGTTCAAAGTAAATAGACTGATGTTTGGGGTTAAGGTTGCTCCATCCCTGTGGCAAAAATTCATGGATTCCTTACTACAAGGTATGGATGGCGTACAATGTTTTTTCGACGACATTTTAGTCCAGGAGTTAACTTACGAAGAAACTCTTCTGAGATTTGAGAAAGTATTAGAAGTTCTACAGAAGCACAACTTACATTTGAATGGGGACAAATGTAAGTTTTTTGAAAAAAGTATCAAATACCTTGGGCACATTATTGATGAAAAAGGTCTACACAAAAGTCCTGAACAAACTGTAGCAATTCAAAGTGCTAGAAGGCCTACGAATGTAAGTGAATTGAAGACATTTTTAGGCTTGGCCACGTACTACAGCAAATTTATACAAAACTACTCAACTAAAGTATATCCTTTGACAAGATTACTTACAAAAAATGCTAAGTTCATCTGGAGCTCTGATTGTGAAAATAGCTTTCAAAAAGTCAAAGAAGAAATAACAAGTGAACAAATTTTAACTCATTTTGACCCCAATCTGACGGTTACTCTTGCAACAGATGCATCACCTGTAGGACTCGGAGCAGTTCTTCCTCACAGACTAG